AACATGAACGCAGCAATAGCAAGTGAACACAGCAGTGGCAGCAGCATAGCGAGGAGGCAGTGGCGGCATGTTTAGGAGAATGTGTTTGGTTGGTTGTAAGAGGGACGAGGTGCGTCACGTGTTAATGTATCATTGGTGCTCGAGTTGACTGCCTGAACTAGCTCGCAGGTTTCGCCCCATTTTGGTCAAGACATTCAAGAAGTTACTTGTAAATGTTTTTATCTGACTTTTTTTAATTCTCTTTCCGAGCAGATGATGTTCGGGAGGAAGAGGAGAGACTGCTGAATGGGAAGGACAGAGGTAAGATATTATCTCAATTTAGATTTTCACATTAAATTATCTCCCCCCTCTTTACTCGCTCTCCTTGCTTACAAACTTTACACTAACATGATCATTTCAATGCTGAGTCTTTACAGTGGGACGAACACGGTTTCAAAAAAGCTGTTAAATGTGATTAACTGATATAAATTTCATTTATATTTTCCCTTATTCATTTATTTTGTATTGAGTATTAAGTTTAATTTCTCAGTCCTCTTTCTCACACGACAAGAACATTTCCTTAAGTAACACATGGACATCTATTAAAAGTCCTCTGTGTGGGAAAACTGCGGCTTCATGCAGAGTGAAGCCGCAGTTTTCATTACCACTTTCATTGCAGATTTCACAAACATCTGACTGAAAAAACACTGAAATGGACACATTTTGAATATAAATAATGATACTGCCTTGATTGCAGATAAAGCTTTTAGGTAGAACATATCAGCTAGCGAACGTTTAACAAAATAAAGTGAGGTTTTGCTCAGAAGTGAAATGCTTTTGTACGTGCAGCTTCTCTGCATGACTTGCTGTGTCTAGAATTTAGAAGAATTGGAAGGGATGAAACCCAGGGCAGGGCAGGAGGTGAACTGGGACCTCTCCAAGTAGCACACTCCATATTTTAGGTCTGGTCTGGCACTTGAACTGGCGACCCTACAGCTCCCAGTCCAAGCTCCTACTGACTGAGCCACTGGCGGATTATGCCCTCATGCACATTCTCCATTAGACACCACTTATTCTCCAGGTGCTCTCTCGCTTCATTAACACGCCGTCTCATTAGCCATTCTTTATGGAGAGGACCGCCTGCGGAGACGGGGCGCTGCAACTACTTCCTGGTTCCCCGAGTCCAGACTTAACGCTTATTAGAAACTAACCTGCAGTACTAACCCGCCGACCCCGAACAGCCAGACGGACTGCAGGCCAGGTCTCAGCCCCCTGTTCAACACAGTTAAGTTATAACGTTTTAAAGAGAAATACTGTTAGACTGTTCACTATTGAGTTTTCTCTCTGGATTTACTCAGCTTGTGTAGCACCTGCCAAGCACAGTCTTGTTTTATGGTCTGGTTCTTTTTACAGTTTCTGGCAGAGACCTGTAGAACTTGATTTAGCACCGCACAAACATTTGCTGATGAACTTTCTTTCTCTCTTTAGCAGGTTAAAACAATCGCAGGAGAAACAAAAACAGTAAGTGATTCTGTGTAATCAATTTGCAAAAACAAAACAGAAAACTGTTGTTATCACCTTTTGATATGTTGTGAATGTGTTTTATAGTGATGCTAACCTTTTTTTTAGGTTTAAAAAAGCCTAACTCTAAAGCTAGCTTATATAAATTGGTTAATTTCTACAAAAAATTAACAATATATTATCATGAACCAGAGATATAACGTGCTAATGCCTCTCTCCTCAGGCAGACTGACGTTTGATCACGGCCAAAGAAGACTCACCCTGCTGGGATTATTATATATCATCATATATTTATCGTTAGCCAATGGGGAATAGAGCTCCTCTGCCAATCAACCAATCACGATGCTGGACACCAAACGACCGCTGGGTCCCTACTGATGTATAGCTGTGATTCTGTGTGTGTGTGTCATGTCACTGTGGTTTTAACTTTTTGTTGTTGATTTGATCGTGCATAGCTAAACAAGGAGTCTGAAACCTGCTGATTTGTACCGTAGCCTGTGTGTGTGTGTGTGCTCTGCGTTTTTCGAGGGTCAAGTAAGTGAAGAAAAGATGTGTTACGGAAATTTGTGAAGGATAAAAAAAAAAACTGGAATGTTTCAGGATGGAAATACAGGATGTAAAGAGAAGTGGTAAACAGACGAGAAGTGTGTAGTAATGTTTTACGTTTCGGCACTGTGTGCTTAGTATTTATTGCTTTGATTTGAGTTTAGACATTTAGTCTTTCAATTTGAGTGTTCATGTGTATGGTCCTGCTGAGATGATAAGCTTTAACGGGACGCTTCCTGCTGAAGGCTGAAAGCTAAGGTCCCGCTCTTGTTACCTGGCAGATTAGTGCCATGGTGCTGACATGACAGCAGCTCAGGTTGTGCTGGCCTCTCTGTGTAACTCGGTACTGCAGTGGGACTACAGTCGATGAGGTGTGTGTGTGTGTGTGTGTGTGTGTGTGTGTGTGTGTGTGTGTGTGTGTGTGTGTGTGTGTGTGTGTGTGTGTGTGTGTGTGTGTGTGTGTGTGTGTGTGTGTGTGATAAAAAAACATTTGCTGCAACAGTGTAGCAATAGAGTAGCAAAGTGGGTGGAGAAGTGGGCTCTGGAAGTATTTATGCCCATTTTTTATAAATATTCTTCTAAAAAGTAATTGTAGCCCAACCTGGTTATTAAGGGTCACTTGGTGATGACAGAAATAAGAGAACAGTTAATTACATAATTGTAGGATTTTATTGTCAATCAAAGGACTAAAAAAAACCTCATATCCACATAATTCGTTTTTTTATTCTAACCTTGCATGCAAAATGTCTCTTGACACCACTGTTGAAAAAAGAAATACGATATTGTTGTAATCAGAGACAAAAACAGCGTAGCCTTCTTTAGAAATTGACTCATTAAACTCAATTCACGGTCTCCTATTGGACGTTTCTGCAATGCTCCTTGGAAGTTGTGTAAGACTTCTCTCATGTCTTTAAGTACAAACATTTCTGAGTTTTTGTGAGTTTGACGTATGCTTTAACCAGTGCCCCTTATCAAACATTATCTCACAAGAGTTTATTCAATTTACTTTCCAAACGCTGCCTGTCCAAAAAGACTCTTCACACTTTGCTACTCTTCGATTCAGGCTTTATGTAAAATGCAGGGGATTGTGGGAGTCGTAGTTCTCCATGGATGTTAAGCTATAACCAGCAGCCCAAGAACATGTTCTGATATCTGTATGATAATTAAAGATGACCCAAAGTGACTTACTGAGCTTGAATCAGGTCAGGTAGATATGTTTTTAGCATTACATGGCTTTGATTTGGAAGCTGTAGGTAACTGTTGTACATTTTAAAATCAGCTTTTAGTTGGACATTATATTTTTTAGAGACTTCACCAGCCCTTCATATTGTTTGACTGACAGCTTGCATGTGTGATGAATGATGAATACCTGAATGAGCTTATGTTTCTGTCTGAATGTGTGAGCGTGACACCAAGATTGACAGGGCAGACGAGTCCTGGCATGAAATTGTAAACACCTTCAGCTCTGAACCTGCCTGAGCTGACACTGTGAGTGAAGAGTGTGTTTAATCTGTAATAAAAATATTTAAAGTCAGACTCTTATGTTTTGTTGTCCTTGTAACTGTCGGTCATAATCCCCCAGGACACAAAAGGCTTGGCAGCGACATAACAACACAGGTATGTGATGTGTCCAAAAACCTTTCCACAATTTTCCTAGAGCTCTTTCATGACCTCAACCTCCGGATTTGCTCTTGTTTGTGAACACTGTTTAAATAACTGATCAAATAAACCTGTGAATAAGTTGGAAACAAAACTGCTGTATTCCTGGAAAGTGACCCATTTGTAAAATTCCTTGACAGCATTTCTGAACCCAATGCTTTTGCAGCAACTCTGAAACCAACGCTAACTCTGGAGGCGAGTACTTGATAAATATGATAGTATTTAAGTTTTAGTTTTTTTTTTTTAACCTGTAAAGAAGACCTGCATTCAAAATCTTAAGTTAAAGTATATAAGTAAAAGCAGCAAGGTGTACTATGTGTCAGAATTACTCATGCTAAAGAGCCCTATTACTGTGTTAAAGCACAACATTGAATAATGATGCATTTATGTGAAAAACATTTTATTGTTCACGTTTAAAATATTTTCAACAACTATGTATGATGTTAACCTAATGTATAATGCATCACATTTTAACAACTCGTAATGTAATTGACCTAAATAAGTAAAAAGTAAAACATTTACACATGAAATGCTGAAGAAATTGGTAATATTAAAGTACAAGTAGGATTTGAACTTGAGTTTAGTACTTGGGTAAATGTACTTAGTTAATTGTACCAGTATAGCAAACAAAATCTCACCATTTGTACCCAAACTGACCACAAACAACCAAGCCAATGTTTTTCATCTTCATAATAACCCAGTTAATAAACACCCACTTTCTCTCCGCTACGTAAGACTGTTTTACCTTTTCCCTGATTTAGTGTCCTCATTAGTATGGATGACCAGTTCTCACTTTTCCCATGAGCTTCCTTTAGTGTGTGTGTGTGTGTGTGTGTGTGTGTGTGTGTGTGTGTGTGTGTGTGTGTGTGTGTGTGTGTGTGTGTGTGTGTGTGTGTGTGTGTGTGTGTGTGTGTGTTATAGACTGAATAAAGCTCATTGAGGTTGTCTGTTGTTGGTGACCTCATTGACTGCTATAAATAACCCCCCAACAACAGTGCAGTTATGACCCTGTTTATTACCGATCTTAACACTTTCAGAGGTCAAACTGAGTTGAACCTTCTGCTCTGAAGCAAAAATCAACGATTCATAATGTAATTAAAGTCAATTTGATTTCATTGATAATAGTTCAAAGTCAGTATTAATAATAATCAGCACTTTTCAGTAGTTTTTTAAGGGTAAAAGTAAAAAAATATCTTGTTTAATCTTAATAAATGATTGGATTTGCTGCTTTTCTCTGTTTGATATCATTATAAATTGTGATGTCTTCATTTATATATAACATACAAATACAATGAGCATATTAGATCCTCTATGACAAGATATGGGCTCAGTTATTAAAGGAAGTAAATAATAAACTAATTTAACAATTATGTAAACAAAGGTTGCATCAGTAAGAATTACTTTATGTGTCTATTTCTCCACACACTGTTTGAAATCTTTTACAACTACACCTAGTAGTGTTTAAAGGGACAGCAAACCTTCAAATCAAATACATACGGGTACTGCATGTTTTCCCTTACCTAAAAGGGCTATTTTAATCTAGATTGTTTTCGTATGTGTTGCAGAGTATTATAGATATCAGCTACAATATAATCTAGATAGCACTCAGCTTGTGGTGCCTGGGTCGCAAAAAGAATAACACACTTAAAAATGTCAACAGCATGTCTCTTTTTTTCCAAAAATCATGACCCGGTCACTCAAGACCCCTCTGATCCGCTTACTTCATTTACTGTTTTTCCTATGTTTCTGTGCAGTTAGAGGAGAGCAGGTTTCAACGTGTTGCAGCATGATGCAGCTTCACCTGTTGAGGAACATGCAGAGAGGGGAGTTATAGAAAGAACCCACCAAGCAAGAACGTGGGTAAATGTGTTGCCCTTTTGGGTTATAATTGTGGAAAACACGTTTTCTGGAGTTATTGCTTATCCAAAGCAAAGGTTAAAAAGAACAGAGGCTGATTTGTGAAATTGGGCTTTATTAATAAAACGGACCTAAATGTTTGTTTGTAGTCCAAACTCTCTCTAACATAGTATTCACCAACTATTTTGTTATCATCAAGAAAAACTAATTCTGCATTTTAAAAACTAATTAAGGCACTTTTTTAGATTTCTCTTTATTATAGCTTTCTGTATTTTTAAAATAGCTCGGATAGAAAACAGATAACATCAGTGTGCTTAAGATTCAGAAAAAACCTGTGACAAAGTCAGTGTATCTGCTGAACGTGAACTACTTTAAAGGTTGACTTAAGTTATGTTTATTTTTGGAAAATTGTTGTACTTCTGATCCACCTGTCTTCACATGCATGTACGTGCACGTGCGTGCTGTAGATGTAGACTTTAGGACCTCGCGGAAACTCTCCGGTGCGGCAGCCTCTGCGGCTCGTGAGAGAGAGCAGGCCGGTTGGAGAGAGAGAGAGCAGGCGGGGAGCGCGAGCAGCAGCGGGGAGAGAAGACCCGGTAGAGTGCGAGGAGGGAGAGAGAGAGAGAGAGTGAGCGAGAGAGATCGAGCGAGAAAGAGAGGAGAGAGAGCGACGACCGTCAGGGTCCGCGTGCCTATGGACGGACGACACGGTAAATATAAACATTACATTTTGGCTCGTGAAGTGAATCAGTGATGTCCTAAAGTCATCGCTCGTGCGTTCCGGAGCCAGACCCCTGGTTCCGTTTTAGCAGCTGATGTGCGCGTGAAGACGGTGCGTGCACGAGTGAACTTGGTGAGTTCTTTTTTTGTACGGTGTGCGGAAAATCACGGCACCGGACAACCGTTATACGAGTGTGTGTGTGTGTGTCCGGTGGATCGTGCACCCCGCCTCCAGGCACCGGCAGGTAACGTTAAACCGGTGCGCGCGGTCCTCCTCTCACCAGATGCAGACAGACACATCAGCGCGCGCTACCGTCGCCTCCGCGGACTGGTGGGCACGCGCCTGAGGTTAACGAGTGCATTCGGTCTGAGATGCGCCCCCGTATGTGTTTTTTACCTGACCCAGTAACGTTTACCGTCGACACACACTCAGACACGTGTCCCCCACCAGCTGCCCCCCCACCGGGGTTATCTGCCGGTTCTGAGAGGTCGTCCGGTAAAGGCCGCGTGAGGTCGCTCCCAATATTAATTGTCATAAGGCTGGACTACGTCAAACTTGCAGGAAAACTATGATACTTCCTGCGTAGACTTTCAAAAATAAAAGTCTCGGTCTACACTGTGGTACACACAGATCTGTTTGCTGATTGTGTAATCAAAATATTTTAAGCAGTTTGATCAAATAGGTATCCAAGAAGTGATTGTTAAACATTTAACAAGTTTCAATGTTATAGAAGTGATTGATAAAACCTTCAAGGGAGCTAAAGATTATTTAAACTAATAATTATATTTTGATGTGTAGCATATCATACAGTATTCTTGTTTTATCTCACTTAAAGCCCAAACCCTTAGGTGTTTAATTAACTGATGACAAAAAGCAAATATTAATAATTGAAAAGCTCTAACTGGTTTAAAAATATTACTTAAACAATTAGTCATCAAACAATAGTTGTGGGTGATTCATATTGTAAGGTCGCCTTACAATGAATAAAATAAATAGCCTACAATTAATTGGATTATTTGTTGCAATCAATTGTTTAGGAGTTCATTTTAGTCCATGTCGTCTGAATTATTTCTGTAGATTTTAGGGACTTCTGCTAAGTTTACACGTTCTACAAAATCTAACACAGGATGGGTATTGTTTCTGCTGATCCCAATGATTTCACACCTTAATTTCACCACTTTTATGCCATCAAGAATTCAATAAATAGACAAATAAACGATTCAGTATTTGGGGAGAAAAATTAGAAATGTCAGAAAACATATCATGCAATACTTTCTGATCTGAGGTTGGAAAGTAAGAGTTTGTATTAAAAAAAACACCTGTATACACGTGTCTATATCATAATAAACACATTTTTCGAATTAAGTCTCAAGCAATAATATCCTGCTCTGTAAAATAAACCTGAGAATTAGTTAGATTAGACAATTAGACAATAAATAAAATTAAAAGTATAATGCTTTTATTTTGAAAAAAAACCCACCTACTTCCTTGTGTCACCACTGCCTTACTGTCATTACCTTGATTCACCTCTAAAGCGTATTCTCTGCGCAATCATTTCCCCTCCCACCAGCACAGGCTTCTGCTCGGGCCTTTCTCCATGGTCTAATTTAAACCACTGCTGCATGAGGACTGAATCAATTTACATCTGTGTGTTTAGACTCACTATAGGAGAGAGAGGTATCTGGGTGACCTACATACTGTACGCAGAACTTGGAGGAATTGGTTTTCCTGCAGGGTGTAGGGTGGATACTGTACAACCATGTCTGCAAAGTTTCCACCCCTGTATTTCTCTCCTCTGGTAACCCTGGCTCGCTGCCTGTTGTTTTAACAGTAGGTGATGTAAGGCCACAGCATGGGGAGTGACATACTGTACAATACATGTTGAGGAAAGCCAGACTTATTGGCTGCACTCACACTGTGCTCACATCCAAATCACTGCTGAGATCCAAGTTTTCTTTTGAGGCACATGCAAACACAGCTTTTTAAACTCCTTTTGTGTTTGAATTGTGATCTGTTTATGAACAGACCACTTAGCCGATTATGTTGGAGCAAGAACGAAAAGTGTAGTCAATGTTTAAAGTTGTTAAAGGGTCCAAGATGGTGGAAGGAGCTCCCCATTGATATCAGGACAGCAGAAAGTAAACACATCTTCTGCCCCAGAATGAAAACCCACCTGTTTTTAATGTGCCTTGGCCATCAAACCCAACACATTTGAGGCAAATATATATCTGCATTTGTCTACTTGTTAAGCTAGGGACCTGTTGCACGCATTCCACAAATGCCTCGCTATGTTACCTGT